CAAGAGAGAGCAAAAGCAAAAGAACCCGTACGATATATCGTATATCGAAGTGAAACTCCTGTCCGTATGGAACGACGGCGTTCATAAGTTCCGCGGCGAAAGTGAACGGGCGAGGGTGAAACTCGAACGGGACGAACGGGGTTGCTCCGCGAACTTCGAGCAATTGTACTTATTTGTAACGTGCACGTCTCGGCAGAACGCGCGAACGTCAAAAGGGCTTATAAGGAACACACGTGGTACGTGATTGTATGTTGTTTCCAATAAAACATTGTTGTTTTGTATACTAGTGGTCCTGGTTCTTTGTAAAGCGTTATCATTCTCTTTATATTTTTTTCTCCTCTATTAATATATAGAGTATAAAAGGAGCAATATAAAGTGATAGAACGTTTAAGAATAAATTATTTATTTTATTTATAATATCGATATGTAAAATTTAAGTTTTAATTAAAAGATTCAAGTATCAAAAGATTCCAGTATTTGTAATTTTTATTATATGTCATAATAATTAATAATATATTATTTATAGGATTAAGAAAGATATAATTATGCATATCAAATTTAATTGCTGCTAAATATAACGTTTCTTTTAATACAAACAATTTTGTATTTTGTATATGTAAACTTTATTTTAATATTTTTTAATTAATATGTATTTATTTGTGACAACTTAGTTACGTATTACCTATATACTAATTTCTAAATATTTTATACTTATGTATCATATCATTGTCTTATACATATATTTGCTTTCAACTTTCAAATTATTGTTACCAGTAACAGAAAATATAGATATGTGCTCTCTTGGTCGTCGATAAAGAAAAGAACATATAACAAGAGTTAGCGTTTATTGGTTTTGCAAATATTTAGCGAGTAGTAACGATTGTTGATAACTAAAGTAATTAAATGCACTATAGAACATTACATATTTATCGTCCTAATTGGAAGTATATTGATTTTGATATTTTTTAAAATATTATTATCTTCGTAAAATATTTGTTGTTATGAATATTGTAGTTTTTATGATAAAATAGATTTCCATTTAAACTGTAAACGATAAACCAAAATGGAAATAAATCTAGTAAAATAATTTATATATTTTTTATCTTGTGAATAAACAAAAAAAAATTATGTTGAAAATTGCCGAAAAATTATATGTTAACTTGCGTTAAGCGACTGTATGTATATCTCTTTTTCTTGCAAGTAATATTATTCAAAATTAATAAACTAAATTCATGAAGAAGGCAATAGTTGAATAAAACATTCAACAATGTAGAAATTGCTTTCAGTGACTGTAATTTACACGACTGTGATTTAAGTGAAATAAAAATCAGAAACATTAATCGCGTAAATCTTGCACCGTAATATATACGTCAGATCTAGAAATAATGTTAGCACAATGTTTTCTCGATCGTAAATCCGTTTTACAGCCGTAACAATAGAAGTGAAATTGCGAGAAGATCGCGCAATGGTCATCCGATAAATATCTGAAAACTATGAGCATACTGGTACGGTGGTCACATGTTAAAGATTTCACGCGTATCGCATTACGACAGATCCGCGTCATAAAGAACGAGAGCAGGGACCCACTGTTGCATTGAATGTGCGTTGTTGCATACTGTTTATGGCCCTCCACGGAACCCCGGCGCTTCTCCGGTGAATCTGCATTTATTGCCGTCTAAATAAAGTGCCGCAGGCATAAATTGCTTGTTATAGTGGACGGACCCTAGCGGTGCAAATAAAACGAATCTAAATGTATACCTAAAGGCACGCCTCGTTCCTTTTTATCTCTTTATGTATCACATATATCTGCGCAAAACGGTCCAACGAGGGTAAAAATAGGAATGATTAACTGGCGAATTCATTTGGCCAATGTAAATAAAACCATTAAAATGCAAAAAATGTTTACCCGATGCGCGAATGACTAGGTGATATGAATTATATTATTGCATGTGTTTGAACCGTGTAAAATAAATAAATAAAAAAAAAGGCTCTCAGAAATAATCCACTTTGGGTCGTGATAATTACAAAGTTAAGAATTTATTATCACAAACCCAACGACTCTTTAACCATTTCTATTTTTTCTTCTTTGAATTATTTTCTTTCTCTTGAGGATACTGTAGTTTCCCAGAAATGGCGAAAAATCGGCAGAATTATTAATTGGTTCTGTCAATCCAAACACGAAAGTGGAGTACCTACCCAGATGGCAATGGAACTCCGTCGGAAACGCGACTCATGTCGACCGGAAAGATTGCGCCGCGATGGAACATCTGTAATTTCCATTAGAGTAACTCCAACTCTCTCTGTTTTGTTAGCCGTAGTTAACAATGTTACAATATTTTCATATATTTTCTTCATTATAAGGCGTATTTCTAGTCAAGGCAAAATCAATCTTAAACATGCATACTCTCTCTATGACATAATAGACTAAAATTTTCTTATTTAGCATTGAGATGTTAACTTTGTTATATACGATATAAGATCATATGTTGCATGTCGTTAAAAAAACTGCTCTTGATATTTATATTTTTCTTAAAATTTTTTTAGTAAAACCCAATAGAATTTTATTCTAGATAGAGAAGACTAGGAAAATATAATATTTAAAATAAAATATTTTTCATAAAATGTAGTCAATAATTAAAAAGTAAAAATTTTTATTATTAATATAATGCAAAAGTTAAACAAATTTTAAAATAATATGTCAGAAAAATTTGTATAACAATCAGATCGTGTCCATTAATTATTAAAATAATTAGAATAATTATCCCTTTTAATTTAATATTCATACATAAAGTATAATATAATAATAACAAATTTTATATTATATTTTCCATTTCTCTCTCGTTCAATATAAATAATTTACAAATACCAATATTTTACTGTCGTAATTCCGGAAATGCAACAGTAATATTTAGCGCTGAATCAGAAAATGTGATAAACGAATTAATTAATTAACGAAACGCACATGATGTAAAATCCAGCACCAGATTTCACAAATTAAATTTAATATAAAAATACAAATAAGTGTAAGTATTGTAAATGTGTATAAATGTTATATGTTTCATTTTAATAAGGGCGGAAAGAGTATAGGAAAGTTGACTTTGATGATTGGCTCTATATTAAATAATATTTTAATAGACTAAAATAATGAGACGCTTAAGCAAGTGATAGAACACAGGCGATAGAAAAGTGTATATCAGAGAATAATTTTGATTTTATTATTTAGCGCTAAAAAATGCCATGTACAACGCCGTTTTCTGTCATTTCTGACGGCAAATACATAGAATACATAGAATATAACGATGAACCCTCGTTTCATTTGCCATGAAGGCTAACTATTGTCCAAACGAGATCTATCACGATGCTCATTTATACTGTGACCTAATTAACGCAGATCGTGATCGTTATGATATACTGAGCGAGCCACATTCTCACTCATTCACGCACATGCGGCTCGTCTCCAATTATAGAAGTAAAATTGGAGATAGATACGCGTGCGCCATACTAAAAAAAAATTTTGAGAAATAAAACTTGAGATCTTTAAAAATTACAAAATTTGAAATTCAAATTCCTTTTTCAAATTACGTAGAAAAGTTTAAAATGCAGACGTGACAAGAATTCCATGATTTCAAATAGCCAAAAATTCAAAGAGCTTACAATTTAAATCTGAGAAGCATAAAAATTGCTCTCGAATTTATATATCCAAAGAGTTCAAGAATCCTAGTTTTTATAGATTTGAGATTAGATACAAGTTAAAAAATTTTTATCTTATCTGGAATTTTATGTGATTCAAAAAGCTATAAAAATAAATTAATGCACAGACCCGATAATCTCAACATCAGTCTATTATTTTTATAAATGATTAAAATTATTGAATCAATAACGATTACGGTCGCTGCTAATAAAGCGTTTTACTGAGAAATCTAACACAATGTCACAGTAAGTAAGTAAATGACTGCACTGCTTAATACCGAACATTATAGCATCACGAAAGAGTCTTTTGGTTTATACGTACTACTAGCAATGTTACTTGCATCGAGTCATTAGCTGCGTTCCAATACCAGTACTGAAAATCTATAATGTATGTGACGTAAACTATAGATTTTCAGTGAACTGGCAGTGAATATTGGAACACAGCTATTTTCTAGTGTGTGACGTAAATATATAATACAATTTACGTATGTATATATACATATACACATGTATGTTACGTACGGTGTTGGCATAATGTGTTAAGATACAATAAACTAAAGTATTGTGGAGTTTAGCACACACTCGTGAAATTAGTAAACGTCGAAAAAAGATTATTCGACTTAATTAATTATTTTGTATGTAAGATCGACGAATTGATTCAATCGTTCTTTTATAATTGCTAAATAATCGTCTAATTTGATATCGTCTTATTTAAGAATAAAGATATACCTGCATGCGAGAATATATGCGTATGAAAATAATTTCTTGCACATATATTAGCTAATCTATCGAAAATTACGAATCCTTGATTTTTTCTAATACGTATATTAATCTATGTTTTATTAGAAAATTTCTTAGTCAAGATATCATGCGTCAAAAACTCTCAAATTTTCTATAATCAAAGAATCGATAGACAATCATATGGCATAGACAAACCATTTAATAATAATTTGACGTTATAGTAATGAATTAACACAAATATAATACATAAGAATAATTTATGACAATTACTGATATATCAGTATGTATTAATGTTCCTAATAATTTTTTACTTGGAATTAATAACAATAGCAAAGTCATAACAAAATTATTAGCCAATCGATCCTTCAATCGCGCTTCGACTTGTAAGATTTCACGCAGTAATCTGTAAGATCTTAATAAGCAGAGGTAAAACTAAATTTAAAAAAAGATATAAACAATAAGAAATATGTAAAATACACCAATAATCACATATCTCAAGATTTACATATATATAGATATATATATTTACTTAAAACATAAACATGTAAAAAATGTTTATAACTTGTGTTTTCTCTTTTCAAAATGTTTTGTAGAAATGTAGAAATGTTAACTACCTAATAACCTTTAAATTTAAAGCAAGACTTTTTAAATATATCAGGATTTAAATACATAATTGCATAATCTAATGTCAAGCATTCTGCTTGGAGCTGCCTCTGCACAAAGAACGAGAGAGAGAACGAATCGTTTTTATCTTCCGACACTGCGAATTTATCCAACGCTCGGTTTGTCACCTGGTGATTCTTTTACGAAAAGAACTGACTGAATCGGTTGTCGTTTTGCGCACACACTCGTGAATTCAGGACGTGCAAAACGTGACAACGGTAGCGACCGGCTAATCACGCATCGTTTTCAGTCCGAGCGCACATGTCACGTCAAGTCTCTCTACCTTGCTAACTAAGTTCACTGAAACGAACGGACGGCCGATGAGAACGTCACACGCAGTTTCCTCGAGGATCACCTTGAGGACACGCCACAAACCGGTGATTTGCGCACAAATATTCCCCGGGCGTTTAGTCCCTCCCTCCGGCCTTTTTCGCAAATTGATCACTGCACCTCACAGACGAAGAAAGTCTCGAAGCTACAGGGACTGTCATTCCATTTGAGCCCTTTGCCGTCCCTGTTCCAGAGCTCCAGGCAATGCTCCTCCTCGCCATTTTCGTATCTGAAATAGAAATAAAGGTATTAGAAACAGAAGGTATTTGAAATCCGCACTATTTTTGTTAAACAAAAAAAATTTGTGAGAAAGTATGTTATTTAATAACGTATTCGATCTTGGTTAAATTAATTTACAGTTATACATGTTTTCAGAAAGAAGAAGGACATGTAATATAATTTCGTATTATATAAATGTATTACAATCACGTAAATATTGAAAACATTGCAATACAAAAGATTAATATTTCTCCAAAGTCATCGAAATTGAGTTTCTTTCTTCATTAAAATTAAAGCATGTTCCTCGCTAAAGATCCCATAAGAAGACTCAACAACTTTCACCGGAAACGAATTCTAGTACTTCGATAACCGATTTAATGTAATGGTATCGCAACGGTAGGGGCAAATGGAATTTGCGCGATCGATATCAGAAGGAATGTAAATTGTTTGCGATCGTATAGCAGCCTTACCGGAAATTATTTGGTTCGCCGACGTTCCAGTTCTCGAACGTGATCGGCCTACCGTTAGCCATCCAGAAAAAAGTTCCCTCCTCGGCCTGGTCGGTGCCAGAGGTCCAAAAATGCTCGTGGCCGAGACCGAAGTCCTTGATATGCTTCTCAAGTCTATCATTCTCCTCTTGCGAGGCTATACTCGCCAGATGCATCCCGTGATAACGACAGTATTGCGAGGCTCTGTACCAGTTTGCCTGCGAAGCAAAGAAGGGATGGTTATATTTTATCCTAATGTTTCCTTTTCGGCAAAATGCCATCAATTGTACAAAATGTCTTGCATAAAATATATGCGGAATAAAATATGTTAAAAATTGATGTGCTATCGTAATAATTCATTATCATTACATGTCAATTAAATATCGATCGACATTAAATATATATTTAACAGAAATAATGAATTTTCTTTGCCAGTATATAGAATAACAATTAAGTAATTTAAATCGACTGACTGGTAATATATAACGTCTTTTCGATGTGAACATTGAAAAAACTGTGAGCCAACTCGCTTTGTCAGATTCACACAGCACTTTTTCGGATCAATCATCGAGACATTATTAATTTCGACCAACGCTTTTGGTCAGATAATGTAATTTCTAAATTAAATAGTTTTAAATGTTATTGCAAAAAATATTACCCCAGCCAGGGTTCAAACCTGGAACCTCCCGTGCGGGTGTCGTTATATTGCCAGTCAGTCGATTTAAATTACTTAATTGTTAAATATTTAAGATAAAATATTTATATTCAATATAAAATATTTAGTACTGTACAAATAATATATAAATTGTTTATATAATGGTGGACTAAATCGATTGTGTAAAAGAGAATACCATGAGAGAGAAATGCGATGACCTAAAGCGTTATGTTAAACGTTAAACGCTACAATAATTATGGCAAAGAGAAACGCTTGACCTATTGGTAAATTATGTTTAATCAAATAATAGTAGAGATAAGTTGTCCTTAATAATCACATATAGTATATGTGGTCGTTGATCATAGCAGATTGGTCAATATAATAATTAACAGCACCCAGATTGTAGGGGCACATTTAATATTCACGCTAAAGTTACATAATCACCATTCTGGTATCGATTTCGGCAGATCATATTCGAGAACCTGTTTGGAATATTATTAACAAGTTACAAACAAAATCTGTTATTTAATGTGTCAATAATGCGTCAATAATACTATAATCATCACACGAAAAGTAGAAGCAAATGTTCCAATAAAGTAGATTAAATTTTTTCATAAATAATCAAGTAATAAGAGTATTATGTAGAGTAGAGAGTAACTCAATAATTAAATGCTAAGATTTATTTTTAGACAAACTAAGTTACACTAAAAATATGGAATGTATAAGGAAAAATGCTAATAACAATGTTTTTAATGTAAATTTTGTTTTAAATTATAATAGAAACATTATTATTAAAAGAAAAAATCTTTCTTCCTTGACAAATTAAGTTCTCTAAACAAAAGGTTCTGGACTTTTTTAAATGTTTTAAATTTAAGATTGATCTTTTATCATTTTCCAAAACAGTCAAGTACGTATATAAGTGTATCTCATATTTAACCAAGTGAAATTATCTACTCAGTACTGTTTAACTTGCCTCGGGCTGTTTATGATAGCACAGAAATGTTTATTAGTAACCCGCATATCGCAATATTTTATGCGGTTAAGAGAAATCTGACGAACGTTCAATATGCAGCAAATTTGTATTTCGATATTTCAATATTACACGATCAGTTGTGTGAGTAACTTCGGTCATTCGCGCTGCATTATGTAATTTTTATGACCGCGGTACGTTGCAGAAGCGTATAAACGTCGTTGACATCATCGACAGTGGTCCTTTACGATCGTTACGAATTTCCTCGCGGCGTTTCGTCGCATTCACGCTTATAGCCGCTGCGAGCAACCATTTAAGTGCAAAGTTGGTCCTCAGCTCTCACATACCGCATACGTGCCGTCTCCAAGTATCTGTTCACAGCATCCTTGATAATGCAACACATTACGCAACATAGTGCAACGCATTCCTCTTCGCGATAACAAATAATCGCAAAATCAGGCTGCAATGGTAGCTAGCTCGCAGAAGTTCGTGTGTGCCGCTATGCAACTCTATTCGTGATCCTCAAAGTCTCTTATCAACATAATTAGCACGCATAATACACGTTCACTAAGAAACTGGATTACCCGCTTGGAATTCTGTGAGAACAACGCGGCCGTTACACGTATATGCAACAACTACACTACACTTCTGCAAAGTATACATATATTGTGCAACTTTCGGTAAACTTTGTATATTTTGATAATTTGGCGAGTTGTCGCTGTATTATGTCGGGCAAAATATCGCAATAGCAATGTTAGTCAATTCAAACTTGTCAGATATGACATACAAATATATTTTTTATTATTAAACCATTAAAACATTTGCTTCAATATTTCGTGAATATTATAGTATATAATCAAATAAAGAAAGTTTATTACAAATTACATAAAAATCTTAGCATATGTATATTGCTTTTTCATACACAGACGGCTTAAGAAAAGTGATTATCGCAAATTAAAGCAAGCAAAATTTTGCATATTTTGCTTGTTTTGTGGAACTTAATGAATCTTTTCGGATCTTAAACGCTATGCTAATTAAAGTTTGCCCGAATTAACATCGTGGGTAATTAACACCGTTGGTAGCTAATGCTTATGTAAATTATTTGTCTTATAACTGCAAACTGATCTCCCTGTTAACATAACAGGAACTAAACTCGGAATTAATATACAAGTACATATAAATCAAATTTTAATTAATTTATTTTAATAAGTAAATTAGTTTTTAATTAGTTTTTAATTACTAATTAAAATATTAAAAATTCTAAAACAATTTATGTGAGAAAAGAGTGTGCGTAAATTTGTTTTTAAAAAAGAATCCTGACAATCTTTACAAGATATGTCACAAAAGTTTCATCTCACCGTCATAATTATATAAAATACTTTTGTGCTATAATTTTTTTATTATATATTTAACCTTGCAATATTACTACCGCGATAATTCTTTTCCAACAATCCATTTTATTTTTATTTTATTTTATTTATTTATTATTATTATTATTATCGTATTATATTTATTATTATTATTATTATTATTATTATTAGTTGTTACAATATCTGTGTATGGCATTTATCGTATATTACACATCTTTCATCCACGCATTTAGCCGTTCAGAAAGAATTTATTCAAGAGCATGGTAAATATTGTCTCTCGTTTCGTCAACGTCAACGGTACCAAATTTCGTCGCTGCTCTCTCGTTGCTCTTTCGACGATCCGTCCGGTGTGTACGGTGGGGGGCAAAGTGGAACGCGAAAGACGCGAAAAATCGAGTGTAACCCGCCGGGAATGCAAATAAAGCGCAATAAATAGAGCGCCGTCGCGATTGCACCGGAGCGGCCCGACACGACGGCGTTGCATTACCGCGCTGGCATTCCCTTTCCGCTCGAATCTCGCAGTGCGCGCTCTCCTGCACCGCGTCGCCACGAAACGTCGGCACGAACCCGTCGTTACTCGTGCACGATGGCTTCGCTTAAGCTCTGTCTATGTTCCCTAAACGAAACAGCAATCGTACGTGACGATCAATGGCAAGCTATTGGCTTTTCGGTTCCGAATATTCGGCTCCGTCTGTTTCCAGGCACATCCGCACCACGGAAGAAAATGAAGATTAAAGAGAAAGTAATTAATAGATGAAAAAAATCATGTGTCTTTTCTGATAAGAAAAAAGCAAGTAAAATTTATGACTAATATAAATGCTACTGTAAAAGTAATATAGTTATGTAATTATATTAGAAGCAGGAAATTCCACGGTGTTCTCGTTTATTCAATAAGAGTTAATATACTTCAAAAGAAAGTTGAATCACCTTTTAACAAATCTAATCTTCTGTTCTGTGCTAGGTTCTTAATTATATTTTCTTCTTTTAATGGTGAGCATTGCGCAATGAACTTTATTTCAAATTTTAATAAAAATTAAGATAATAAATGTAACATTTTAATATTTTTTAGGATGCAATTCTTAATAATAAATCACATGGAGACATCAGCTTCAAGAACAAATACAAAATCCCTTTAATTAATCTATATAGGTAATGTATAGCAGGATCGACATATATCTTGGTCCTTCAAAGACACGCATGAGTGCATATCTTGTCACAAATTAAACAGACGGATTAATCGAAGCAGCAAGAAACCAAGTGGTATTTAGAAACTTGATCGGGACTTTCATCCAGAAAATCGCCTCCTTTTCTAACTCAAATAAGTTTCCCATCGAGGAAAGAGGCAAACACTTCTGTCGTTAGAAAAGAACCACGAAATTCTGTCGAAAAGTCGGTTATTGCCCCGCAAAGAACGAGGTTGTTTTGCAAGGTCTCGATTAATAGGGCGCCGGCACCATTATTTGCTTGCGAAACAAAGAGGGGCACTCGTCTTCAGCGTGATCCGATTAAAGGAGAGGTCAAGAGGGAAGGAGAGAATCTCCACTTTTTCCCTCCTCGCGCTTTCGTTGCGAAAAGCCCGCTTAAACGAATGCCTTTACGTCACTTCCATCCATCTCATAGCGATAGTCACCTCGGCCAGATCCGCAGCAGCGCGATGGAATTACGAAATCCGTGTTAATAGCCGCGTGAGTCAATAAAAGCGCCTAGGCTATCCGGGAAGCCGTAATAAGGGCGACTCTAATCGATACGATTGTGTTCGCGCGCGAACGGACACGCGTTTACACACGTCAGAACCAGGAATGTCGCTCTCGAAAGACCCGCATGAGATCAGCACTACCTGCGAAATCGTCGAGATAGAAGATACGCTTTAAACTTTAAACTGTCACAAGTGTCATAAAAAGATAGTATTTCATGGAAAATAATTCTTAAATATTTATAATATTAAATTAGATATAAATTATTTTTTGTTCTTTGAGCTTGTGTAAATATAATTTAATACTTGTAATTAAAAAAGAAAAAACCCTTACGTTATAAACGCTGCATGGATAAGATGTTTTAGTAAGAATGTGGCATTGTTTAAACTTATCAATATGTACCTAACTAGAAAATTTCTATCTATACTTTTGATTTATAATAATAAGATTGGCATTTGCAATCTGAAATCACTTTTGCTAGAAATTCTTTCAATTTTCCTTCACATGGCAAATATGTCGTTTCAAAGTGTGTTTTATCTTCTTTCTTTCATCACGCGAGCTTCCTTGCTATAACTAACACGGAGTCGTTGTTATCCGAAAAGATCCTTACTACCCTAGTCCTTGGCATTCGATGCACCGTAAAACCGTCCGTGACAGCAAAGCCGGAAAGTTACGAGCTCGGAAATAATTTGATAAAGTCCGAGACCCGGGTCGGGTCGGCGGTTCGGTCAAATAAATCAGCGTAACTGGCAGGAGCGATACCTTGAAGAAGATCCCCAGGTAGTATCTCTTCTCGCCCAGCTTCAGTAAAGGCATCGTCCATCTTGAAGCCGCCAAGCTGCTGCTGTGTTCGTCCACGCAGTTTGGACAGTCGTCTGCAAAGAAAATAGAAAGGCTATTAATATCGATACGTTTTTAAACAGAATGAATGGTAAAAAAAAGTACAATACGATATTTTTTTTTTTCTTGCACCTGACAATATGTTTAGTCTGTAATATAGAAAAAATTTAATCTCTAAGGATACAGCTTCTTGCGCCAAATAAATAATGGTTTCATTTAGCGGCGAATGGCTCGATAAGAAAGACATTCGCAAATTCGCAATTAGTTGCGGAAAATATTAAAATATATCTAATAATAATTTAACTCTAATAATAAATTAATAATATATCTTCACATATATTCTTGTATACATTTCTAAGTTTTAAAAAAATTTTGAAGGTAATATATTAAATTTCTCAACACCAACTATTACAAATCAAATGACGTTTTGTTTTAATATTTACATAAATTTTGGCATTGATCTATAAATCTAAGTCGTCGCAATGCAAGACTTCGATACGGTATTTCAAAACGCGTCAGCTTTCTAGAATTCCTTTCGCATTCATTCATAAATTAATTTATAGTCCTGACTATATTAACATCTTTTAAAATACGCCCACTTCAAAAATTTCTCCAAACACTTCGTCTCTACTCATAGATATTCTTCTACCAATAAAACATATTGACACGATATCCTTTTTTTCCTCAAAAGAGAAATTTTTCGTGTAATGTTGCGTCAACTATATAACTTCTTAAATTATGCAATAAAATTTACCAGATCAATTATAGATACAATTCAAATATATTACTATATTCAATAAATAACTACTAATAATTGAATTATGAAATTAAATAATAAAGTGATATATTATATATTTCATTAAAAAATTCTTAATTTTTAATATATTCTTATAAAAATATATTTCATAAAAACATAAAACGCTTCTGCGATAATATATAAATTTCCGTAAGTTGTCTGTAATCTTCTGCAATTAGACTGTTAAATATTTGCATATCATTGAAACAATATTTATTTCAAAAATGATATTAAGACGCTTCACCATAATGTAAACTGAATTAATTCGCGTCAATCTAACTCGCGTTCAATTTACAAAAGGAATAGAAGACACAAAGTGAAATTTCATGACGGCCTTTTCTCCGTTAGTATCTTATTAATCAGTAGTGCATTCGGTTTCTCCGACTATATTAGGAGAACACAGCAATTGCGACTGAGGACTTCAGCAATTGCAATTACGCAACGCGGAAGAGATCACATGTACATCTATATGTGTGTGCACATGACTGTGCAGTTGTCTCGTTTGTGCCTTTACGCAAAGCAGCGTCGTCAAATGTTAAAACCGCAAAAAAAATATTGTGTACTTGTAGAAGTATAAAAACGAAAGCTAATTAGGACAAAGTATGATTTATCTTCAACCAAATGACAATTATGCTACGATGCGGAAATTATCGCGCTACCTTTTCTGAGAAAGTACAGACACTTATGTAGATATAATATGTGTGGATGTCATGGATGATTGCAATAACTGTTGCAATATCGTATCAAAAAAGCCTAATATGCTTTCTATATCAATAGATATTTAATTCTAATAATTTATGAGTAGATTATTATCAATACAATATATATATAGAAGTACTTTAAAACAATAATTAAACTATATAAAGTCTGTGTGTATAACTTTAAAAATTTTTTTAAATATTTTACATAAATGTTATTGTATAGATACTGCTTTTTTCTGTAATATATATAATATATGTAAATTAATATTCTCAAATTTGCTAATGTTGTAACGCATCATATTCGTAAATAAACGAATAATACACAAAAATAAAAAAAAAAATGTTGTCTTCAATAAATTTACAAATGAATGAATTATATGGAACAACGAAATCCCACGCTCGTAGTACCTATTATGTAAAGAAGCCGAGTATCGAGCATTATAGTAACCTTGATGAAACAAACGCGAATTATGGAGATACAACGCATTGCTTTGTGTCTCCCATATGACGACGAACGCTTTCACCGGCTCACGCACTTCTCGTCCCGATGCGATTCCATTCGAAAGTTGTCTTGCAACTCGATTGTCGAGAGACGGGTCAAAGTAAAATGCAAAATATTTTTACAACGACAGCGGGCGATGAACGAGAATGATTAATAACGTCGCAGCAATAGCCGTCGTCGCAGACCAGGCTCATTGTACTGTGTGTCGGAGCTGTGTGTAATACGAATACGGCAATATCGCATTTTACACGGTAGTGAGAATCACGGAAATCTCTGCCGCCGGAGGATACGTGATACCTCGCGTGCGTTTGCGTTTGCTTTACCGCGTTCTATGCAGTAAGGCTGAGTTACAACGGTTACACGAGCAGTTGCGTAAACCGCGAATCTCGCTGCACGTCTCGCCGGCACGACGTGAAATTTCGGCGACGATTCTGTCTGTTCTGTTTACGGTGCGACGACAGGATTTCTCCGACGAGGCTCGTTCGTTACATAGCTCGCGTGTCATGCGTGCGTGCGTGCGTCGTTCCGTTAATTGTCGCGGTAAATGAAGCGCGCTTTCGCATAAGTAGCCGGAAGTGGCTTTTTTCGCACTTTCGCGCGCGCAATGCACCGCGGGTGAGTCACTTTTTCTCATTCACTCTTTTACCGTCATGTTAATCTCCTTGCTGTTAACAATATTCGTTGTTATTCTTCCTTTCGCATTTTTACGCGTTGTACATGAAACGCGAGATTGTAACATTAGCGCTACGTTATACGAGGCAAGATAGATTAGCAGCTACATTTTTTATCGTTTATGTTATCGACAGACTGATGATGTGAAAAAAATAGCTTTTTATTTCTGTATGATAGATGGTGTAAAATATTTTCTGAAAATCAGTGATTGATTTACAAATAAGTAATATTGATTAGTAATATAATAAAATACATAAAAATTACATATACATTGATTATAATAGCGGAGAAAATCTTAGTTTATTAATCTTTTTTATAATACATATCTAATGCATAGGTAAGTCTTGAGATTCTCTTTTGGTACTTATAAATCTTGGCATCTCATACAATTTTTTCAATTCCCTTAAATATTTGTTTTATTTTTGCTAAAATTTTACAGTTTTTATTCCAAAAGTGTCTCTTGAGTTTTTATCACTAAGTCTCCCGATATTTAAAGATTCTTCATCAAAAAGAAATCCATGAAAAATAGTGATAAAATAATAGTGCTCGAGTCAACTCGAATCGTCGCGCAAATTGAGCGAGGTAATACGGCGAAATTGCATCGTGCTAAAGTTCGCGACCTTTGTAAAACTGAAGAAGATGGCAAGCAGACTAGACGACTTCTTGGTTTCATCGGCGGGCTAATTAGGCTGGCGTACTGCATATTTTAATAATCGCCTCGTTAATCTCCGCGCCGCGGCGTCAGAAAACATTTCGTCGCGTTAATATTCAGCGGACTTCTTAATAGACACCTCCGACTTTTGCTTCCTGTTCCACTTTTTGGTTCCACAACATCGCTTCTCGTCACGCAGAATACAAGATGGAAAAAAGATAAATTACTTCCATTAGAGGAGCCATTAACGGATCTCGGAGCTACCACAACTTTTATTATTCGAGTTTTTATATAATTATGGCTTAAGTTCTCCGATACCGATGAAAGTGCATAAATTTTTTAGAACGTTCTGTAGGATTAATAACAGAAAAAAATTGTTTTTAATTGTGGTAATTATCGTTTAAAACTAATTGAGTTTTAATTATTTAACCCACTAAAAGATTCTCAGTAGAAACATTACATTAGTATTAATTTATGAAATTCACATAAATTTAAATAACATTAAAAAGCAGTACGTGTTATCTGTTCCAAAAAGTACAATAATGGGTAATTCACTGTAACAACAATAAGAGTTGTTTTTTGATTAATGTGAGAGGAAACATAATCGTAGTATAATAAAATGTGCCCTCCGGTACTATGAAAAACCCGGCAAAATTCGAGAGATCTAGATGACATTATACACGCCACTGTTTGCTCCACAATGCATACATTCTGCTAAATCCGTTGCTCGAATTTACAAATCCGCCAGCGGCTATTATTGAAGTTAATACATATCGCGATATACAACGTCGAGCTTGTCGTTATGCTTGTTATGTAACTAGAGAAATAGAGAGTTGTGTTTGAAAATTCTAACATATTCAAACTTTAAGAACTGTTATTGCAAATAAAAAAAGATATATTGTTTAATTTTGTCAAACTTTTGTATTTCGTTAAGTAATTAACGGAAGGATAGGAAACACGAATTTATAATACTTATTATAATAAGCAATCTATAATTAGTACAAAAACTCTCAATATTTTTACATAAAAAGATTTTTTAAGAATTAGTCAGTTATAGATAAATGCCTTGTCAGCATTTTAAATAATTACATTAATCAATATTAATGTGGAAATATTACTCAAATAATGAATATATCTTATAAAGAATAATATTAGAGAATATATTGAATGTAATTTTGCACGCCGCATTAGCGCGATACAGCGCGTTGATAGCGTTCAGATCAATCAATCATTTTCGAAACTTGCTGAAAACGTAACACCCGACTACGATTATTTTAAGCTCACAGTCAAGAAGGTAAATGATCCATCGACTCTTAAAATGTCGGATTTTATCGACGGGCGAAGCCCGCACTCGTTTAGAAGAAACGACATCGTAAAGTCGAATTTTACGAGTGCAATCCCGAAAATCGCATGAATTAAAACGACGCGATCTGCAAGTACGAAGAAATTTAATTACCGTTCACAAACTCACGAAATCGTTCGATAGTCCATTGAATTACAATCAAAAGAGCAAACGCTTGAAACGTACGAATAATAAAATTGCTGACAAAAACGACGAAAAAATTTCACCGATACAAACTGTAGGTACCTTGCATCATTTAAGATAATAAACGTAAATGTTATTTTTGTATATCTATAACATTAATAACTAAGGATCAGAAAATTGCATAAGATTTGATATTCATTTTCAAGAAAATGTAATAATACGATTT